CAGATCCCTTCTTGACTTAGCTGCCCCGATACGCAACACGCAACACGTAGCGTATCGATACGGAGCTGAACACGTAGACTGAACACGTGGGTCCGACGCGACACGTTCGCCAAAACGTAGGCGAATACGTTGAGCCAACACGCAACGTATTGACACGGACGTGTTGAATACGGCACGTGTTGCGTATCAAAACGGGCGTATCGAGGCAGCTAAGCTTCTTGATCGTGCCCCGGGTCCAGCTTTTCAGGGCGCCTTTTTTGTAACTGGGGGGGGGGGTCCGGTCCCTTAGGGCGCCTTCTTCGGATCGGAGCTTGGGGGGTCCGGCTGCTTAAGGCGCCCCGTCGAAGAGGGGGGTCCAGGCTATCAGGTTGGATTTGGAGGGGGGGCAAATCTTTCAGAGGGGGGGTCGATTGACCCAGACCCCCGGCGTCATGATTTTGTCATAGCGTCGACCCTCGGTCTCGACCCATTCCCCTGGGCCCCTGGACCGGTTTTTCGTCCCGAGTCGTTTTTTCGACGGTCCCGAGGCCAGGCGAGGGGCCCCAGGGGCCGAAAGCCCGTCCTGATTTCTGTTACGACGCGATCAGGTCCGGAGCGGCCAAGAGAGGGGGGTGTCCAAGAGGGGGGGGTGCAAATCATGACCGGCGGCATGTGCGCGGCCCAGGCTTGGGGGCCAGGGGCGCAATGACATAAGAAGAGGCGCCATGACATCTGGGGAAACATCATGGCCCACGCGACGATATCCCCCCCCCCCTTAGTCATCACTCCCCCCTCTTTGCCTTTCCCCGATCGGGTCTGGGTTGGCACGGGATTCGGAGTACGGTCGGGGCGTTGACCTAAGGAACCCTAAATAAGGAACGAGGCCCCTTTTTTCTATATAAGTTAAACTTCGATTTCCGATCGAAAACATAAGGAAACCTGAGGCAAGCTGTGAAACACTTAAGGAACGTGGAGCCCCTCCCAAACCAAAAGGGTTCCCTCTTCAGGGCCCCGACTGTAGCCCGCACGGGCCCCCGCAGGCCCGCTCGACGAGGCAGCGCCCTCCCTGCTGTCGCGTGTGCTGGCTGGGGCCTCCTGCCGCCGCGGCGGGCGGGTTGCCTTCTGGCACCCTGGGTCCTCCTCGTCCCCCTCCTCCTCCTCCTCCTCCTCCTCCTCCTCCTCCTCCTCCTCCTCCTCCTCCTCCTCCTATTCCTCCTCCTCCTCCATCAGGAAGCCTCTCTCGTGCCCAGAGCTAGGCTGGGCACGTCCTCCTGCAGGAGGATTGTCGACGCAGAATTCAAGGTAGCCCAAACATGCGCAAACACAGCAAAAAAAGGATCCAAGGATCGTCCCCCGACGACTTTTGAACCAGTTTTGAACATTCCTCCTGTAGAGGAACAGGCCCGACTGAAGCCCAGGGCAGCCCACAACGCAGATCCATGCGAGAGCTTGGGGCCGAGAGACCTGCAAACCAACGTCTCGAGACAACATCTGACCTCAGTGGTGCCTGCACGGCTCAGACCCAGACCCCCTCGAGCAATGGAAACATCACGACGGGAAGATGTTTTGCCATTTTCGGCATCTGGGGGCCCTCGCCGGGCCTCGGGAGCGTCGAAAAAACGACTCAGGATGAGAAGCCATCAAATAATCATGACGTCGGGGGTCTGGGGATGGCGAATCCTTGGACGACTTCGCGGGTTGCGGTCCAGACAGGGTGAGCCAGATTGAGAGGCCAGGGGTTACGCCAGATCAAGCCTGACCGGACCGGCCAACCCGGAGCGGGCTGGAACTGGTCGGATCAGCACAAGAAAACGACATGGCGGGCACTGCGTTGAACATCCGGGGAGTTGCAGCCTAAGATGGGTACGACTCCACGTCGGCCAATGATGCGGCCACTCTCCGGAGTCGCCACATCCTGGGCGTGTCCGATGGAGACACCCAGGCAACGTCAGGGCTTTCCCAGACCCCCGACGACATGATTTTTCCATACCGTCGACCCCCAGAGGTCCCGACCCATTCCCTGGGACCGGTTTCTTATCCTGCGTCGTTTTTTGACGCTCCCGAGGCCCGGCGAGGGCCCCAAAATGCCGAAAATGGCGAGAAACCTCCCGTCATGATTTTTTAATTGCTCGAGGGGGTCTGGGTTCGGCGCGGGAGCGCATCCCTCACACCACCAGCTTTGTGCCTCCCCGGGCGCCTCACAGCTCAAGCTCGGAATTCAGGTTGGCTTGGGCGTGGGCCAGGCTGCCCTCCGCCGTCGTCAGACATAGCTCTCAGCTGGGCCTCGCGCAGCCTTGCCTGGCCTCGCGCAGCGCATCGAGGCTTAACTCGAAGTTGCTTATCTCTCCCCCCCGTTCAGTTGGGCGATTTCTGAAACCCTGAACCCAAAATTGTTGTCATCTCTCGGGTGCACATAATTCTTCCCCTTCCGCCGCCTTCCGCCGAGCTTCTGCCGGCTTCCGCCGGCGGAGGCGGCCTTGTTTTACTTCCGCCGACCTTCCGCCGCCCTTCCGCCGCCTTC